CTCATGGACACAAAATAATAAGATTACTTTGGTTTAGAAACAGAGCTTGAAATGATCATCAATTAATTTTAAATTTTAATTTAATTTAAAAGTTTTAGCATGTACTCTTATACACACTGTGTTCCAAAGCTTCAGATATTTGCTTGAACGAAATTTTTTCAGTGTGATAACAAAAAAGTATGGTGCTAAAAAATGTTTGTATACTATAAAAAGAAGTACGTTAAATTTACAGAAAAAAAAGCTGTCAGATGCTATGCCAGTGTAAAATCGTTTATTTCGCTGAAAAATATTGTTATTTACAAACAGACGCCTCTTTTATAAGCAGATAAGTACTGTAATTTGCCAACAAACTCTATCATTTAAACAGGAAACTGTTATTTAAACAAAAATATGTTATTTTAACAAAACAAAAGAACTCTATAAAATATTTGTGTTACTATTGTGCAAGCCGATGACAGAATTCGCATGATCAGTCAACGTTGGAATCGAACCCGGGTCACCTGATTGGTAGGCGAGTACTCTGTCCCCTTTGCCACGACATCTCTATCATTTGGATATGAAAAAAATATCTTAAACTATTTTTTATCTTAAATGTTGTTCTAATATTGCATAGTTAATTATTTGTTAAAATCATATTTTAGTGTAAAAACGTTTAAAAGTACAGTGACCCACTTTTGTAAAAATGCCTAGCAATTTAACTTACCAAAAAATTATATCTAAAGACAGATAATAATTAGATGAAGCATCAATTTAACAATGAAATCGAATCTCATTTTTATTTATACCATATTCAAAACAATAAAATGATTGCTGAAAAAAGCAAGTATATAGAAAATCGTAAAATGATTTGAAAAAAAGAAGCTATCTTACGGTAAGCAAAACTGCAACGTGAAAACTAGTATATGAATTGACCTTTTTAATCCGCTTATGATCAGAGTGAAAAACAGACAAAAACTGTTTTGTGAAAAACAATTTTAAACCGTCAAATATACGGAAAAATCTGTAATAATACGGGCATTTTTTGCAGCGATCGGGTAATGATTAAAAACAAAGAAATCTGTATTTATCTCAAAAAACAGTAATTTTCAATAAAAATTTTTTTTTTACTTTTTTACTGAATTTACAGTTATATTTTACAGTGTACCACCACCAACAGGGAAAAAATTAATTTAAGTAACTTTTATTCAATTAAATGGAATTTCTCGTAATAAGATGCAATTTTAATAGCTCGAGTGATGTTAATTAACTGTTACAAATGATAACTTTTAAAAATCGGACACACATACGTACTGTTTCCAAACAAATACATTAAAAAACCTTGAATATCTTTTGAGCAAATGAGCCTTTCTTGTATCTCAAAATGACACTAACTAAAAAATTTCTTCTGAATTGGCGACAAGGATATATACTTATTTCATTTACATTTCTCAGTGACTTTCCTAGCCCCGATTTTTCAATATTACAGGGCTAAAATTCATTTTTTTAAACTGATTTAGAATATATCAAAAAAATTTTTTGTTTCCCTTCATATCTAATTAAGAATTAAAATAAATCTTCGTTTGTCAGAGGGAAAAACTAATTCTAACTAAACTAATTCTCCTGAGAAATGACGCCAATATTTCTGTGTAGACGTTAAAAAATGGACACCAATTACGATCACTTCTTTCTTCATATGAAACCTTAATCTTTGATTAAAGAGCTGACTTCTTTATAATCAAAGTTCCCCGACAATATCTCTAGTTACTTTTATCAGTCAATCGATGCAATGTGAGCTTCCGAATTCTTCAAACATATTCATTACTTAATTTATTGCTAAAAATGAATTTTGACTCATTTCCAACTTTTCAACTGTTTTTTTTTCTATTTAGTTTTATTTCTAATTTCACATAAATTTTTTTTATCATATTCTCATTAATTTATTTTACCGATGCACAAAAGTATTTCAAATTTATAATGATGATTTTGGAGCTAGCAATGAAAGTGGAAAAAAAAACTTCTTTTCCATTGTTACTCTTAAAGTTTAATTATTTGTTCTTTCGTGACTATTTTAGTTTGAAAAAAATACTAAAAGTTGTAAAGAAAGTATTGAAATAAAGAAATGTTTTTCATTTTGTTTATGATTATTTCAAAATAATATTTTGTCTTTAAATTTTGTAACTTGTTTTGCACTTTATGTTCATATTATTATTTATAATGTAACATAAAAAAAAGGAATGGGGAATAAGGGGAATAAGCCTCCTGTTCACTACCGCTCACCGATCCCGAAACTTTCATTAACATTGTTTCTTGGAATGAAGCAGTTTTTTTCTACAAAAGTTGAAACAATTCCCTTAAAGCATAAAGGCATCGTTTTATTACAAATTTGGTGAGTATACAATCACAATTTAATATTTTTTCGTTCCAAACAAGCTCATATATTAAATACAATTTGTGCAATGTATTACATTGTGCATGAAGCTAATTGAATTTCTTAATAATTTAACGTATCCTTTTGATTATAATTGAAAATATTATTTCAATGTCAATTTCGCCAAAAAATAATAATTTTGAAACTGTTATTTAGACGCAAAATTACACACGTTTATCTTAGCGTATTACGGTAATATCATAGAATTGCATTATAAAGAAACAAAATATCATAGAATTATCTTATAAAGAAACAAAATATCATAGAATTACATTATAAAGAAACAAAATATCACAGAATTACATTACAAAGAAGCAAAATATCATAGAATTACATTATAAAGAAACAAAATATCCTAGAATTACATTATAAAGAAACAAAATATCACAGAACTACATTATAAAGAAACAAAATATCATAGAATTACATTATAAAGAAACAAAATATCATAGAATTACATTATAAAGAAACAATTCTCTTAATTTTAACTCTTAATTAAAAAAACAATTAAAATCAAAAACGAATTCATTTGTGCAGCAAAAAAAATAAATATTATGAAAAAAACCTTTTAATTAGAGATATTATTTTATAAGAAAATGATACCTTTATGATTTATATATATTTTATCCTGATGATAGCCAAAAATAACGAAAAATCAATATGGGAAAACTAGATCCTAACATGCAATTTTCTGGTCAATAAAAATGCACCGATAACAATAAAAAACTGTGTTAGATCATTCTATTTATATGTTTTTTAAAAGATATTTATTTGCAAGTAAATGTTGTATTAAACAGCTCTTTCTCCAACCTACACTTGTTTGTTATAACGAATTTTTATAAATCATTTCTAAACCAGTATGGTTTTCTTACTATTATTTAAATATTTTTTTTTCTTGTGTGTACGCTACCTTTAATTTATTTATTTAATAAAAAACAAAAAAGACTGGTTTGAATTGTAAAAAAATATTGTGCCTCTTTTATTTTAGTAAATATTTTAAACACCTTATTTGCACACTTATGATAAATTATGATCTATAAAATAAAATATGCATCATGGATTGAGGCAAAATCTTTCAAATTTAGGGACACATCGATCGAAAAAAAATTCCAACCGTTTTTTTAAATTAAGTTTTGAGATGAAGGGAAAAGAGCATTAAAAAATGTTTGGTCTTGTTTGATTAGAAAATATTTTAGTTTCGAGCATAAACTTTTAGTAAAATGTTTTGTTACTTTGCATGTAACCGTGCATTTGAAATTGCTACGTTTCCATTTTTTTGTTTTTTTGGCTCATTATGTTTCGAAAATGAGCTTTTTCTTTTAAAATAATTACTTTAAATTTAAAAACTGTTCTTGGTAAATTTAAATTCATCTCAATGAATTCTACATGAAATTCGAGAATTATAAATTTAATATGACATTAGATTTAAGACTTTGACTTTTGTTTCTCATAACTCATCTGTATTGAATTCCGCCAGTACACACGATTTGTTAAAACAGTTCATAAAACAAAGGTAGAACATATGTATGCGGTATAATGTAGAAAGAATTTAAACCCCTGCCACATACAATAGTCAATAATTATTTACATAATAAAAATGTTAATTTGATACACGGAGAAAAAAGTTCTTGTAAAATTAACGTACTGTATGGTAATGATATTTCAACTAAATAAAAAATTTAATTATGGTTAATATAATTAAAATATACGATATTTCAATCTATCATATGATAACTTTTCTATTCGTATGGTAACTGTTTGCGGCTAAATTTTTAGCAAAAATTACAAAACTGAAAAGCAAACTTAAAATAATAAATGATTTTCATGCCAAGCTCTAAGGTATCATAATAAAACTCGAAATTTTACCACATCAAATTGTATCACCCATTATAAAACAATATTGTCAATTTTACCATAACCATTACCAAAGCTCTTCGGTAAAAATTAACGAGCTTTTTGGTTTTCCAATTGAGCCCGAAATACGGTAATTTTTTCATATTCTGGTAATTTTGACCATACTTTTTTTCTCAGTGTAAGTATAGACTTAATTAAAAAACATAATTTTCTAGCGAAGCAACAGGTGGCTAATTTATATTATACCGATTTAAATTAAGAAAAAATTATCTAAATGCTTATGAGTTATAAGATTGTACTCCTAAACGACATAGGAATAATTATGTATTAACAATTTAAGGGTATATGTAGAAGTATTATGTAAAAGTAATAAATTTATATTTATTGTTTATTGTGTTAAAAGGTACACTTTATTAAGTTAAATTATAATGTGATAAACCGATGTTTTGAAATAAAAAAAAATTTAAAAAGTGAATTCTATATGTAATCAGAGATTTTTTAAAATTATATTTCATTTTATATTAAGTTAATGACTTTTCACTGGACTATTATAAAAACATTTTATGGATAAAAAAAGTTAAAATGCTATAACACAAGTTTCCTCATTTACATCAAATGGAAGGGGCTAATTTGCTTTTGTGAGCCCCTTTGCGAATTGCTTTTTTCCGGGGCAACCACGTTTTTTTTCCCCTCTCATACTTTTTTCGTCTTCATTTCACCCCTTAGTATCGGCCATCTTTACCGGGGGTACGCTGAGAAACTGCGCTTGCAGCATGGCGCACTCTGCTGTTCTTCGGCCGACCCCACATTGCAGCTGCGCGGAGGTCCTTGCGCAGCCTTAAGCCGATCATTCTTCGATAAACAAACAGATTTTTCTCAGAGTAGAAGAACGATTGAAGACCCGAGATTCGATTTCTGTTATTTAAGTAGCAAATCACCGAACACAATAATTTAATAATCGTAGCATAAAACAATTAAGTGGCGAGAACGGCTCGCGGTTACGACTCACGTACGGAAAATCGATAGTTGATGTTGTGGAGTAAGATGGTGAAAGGATGATGACGAGTTATATCTTTGAAGTGACCTTGTTCCAGCATCACAAGAGACTTTTTCGATAGAAAAATGTCTCCCAACTCATCTACCGATTTTCTTGAATGAGAGGAGCCAAACACCCCTCACTGTGGAACTTAAACGAGCGATAACACGTGCCGGAATCCAGGACTGATCATTGATTGTAGCTCCTCCTCCTCATCCTGGTTTCGGTGCTCCTTTTTTCGGGAAGCGGCAATTACCGTCTGTAATTTTCATGGTATGGAGGACACTGCCCTTTCGAATGTGGTCAAAGCTAGGCAAATCTATCAAGAGCAACAAGCTAATCGTAGGTAAGTGATATATTCTAATTACCGATGGGCGAGGGGGAGTGAACGTGAACACGAGGTGTCCGAGGAATGCTTGCCGCGATGCTGCACGCCAATTTCGATTTCAGCAATGACATCCCTGAGGATTATTGGTTCATATCACGACCCTTTCTTACGTTGAACATTTCTTTCTTTTCCTCCTTGTTTTATATATTTCAGTAATAGCATTAGTATAATTTGTTATATAATAATGTAAGAGAATGCGTTATTTATGCTTTCGTATTTGTTCGTTTTTGTTCTATAAGGCGATGATAGAATTACCAAATTTCCCTTCTTAAATTTCTATTTTATTCTGATTTTACTTATCGTCGTAAGATTTTTGAAATTTTATACTGGAATTAAAGTAAAAGTTTATTTTTTGTACAGTTCCAGCATTCTTTTTAAAATTTACATTCGGGGCCAAACTGGGTTTAATGATAACATAATTCAAGAATCCTTTCTTAAAATTATATTCAGGTCGAGCCTAAGTATATTAAATCGTGTAATTCTAGCATTTCCATTTATTTAATAAAAAAACAAACACTTTCACGGCAGGAATATGAGCGAAAACGACCCAGGAATGAATTTGAAGACACCGGAATATTTTATTTCAACCTAAAACATTCCAAATTTCTTAAAAACATAATAAACTAACATAATGTTATCAATTTTAATGATTATTTCATTTTATAACCATCGTTGAACAACCTACCCAATTTTGGACTTACGATTACTAATATTCGACTCTGTAGCCTTGTAATTTTGAATCTAATCCAGAAGACAATTGGACTGATGGATCAAGATTGGGAGAAATTTGCCTTCGTGGAGGACTTTTTCTTATGAAACTAACTTTCCTTTGCGTTACATGGAGAGGAAAACCAGGAAAACTTCCCGCTGTTAACCTAACTGCAAGGGAACTCAAACCATCATCCATCTACCACTAAGGACATTTTACGTCAGCACTGTGGTGTGCTAGCCAGGTGCGGAATTCGAATCGACCAGTCATTGATGGGATTTGAACCCGGTTCACCTCATTGGAAGGCGAGCACTCTATCCCCTGCCCCACTCCGGCTCTTTCATGATTATCGTAACTTTTAGAAACTTATATACGCCTTTTATGTATATATAAAAAAAAAAGATTACAAATTCATTTTGTTCATTTACGTTTTTTCCCCCTGATGGACTCTATTTTTCTTCCTAAATGGAGGTGGAGGAGGAGGGACATCTCGAATTCTCCCTGTTCTGCAAATGGCTGATTTTGAACTGTTAGCATTATATTTGAAGTAAAGCGTTCTTGCAATTTCCCGTTGTGGTCAAGAGAAATTATGGAAGTTAAAGCTTCACAATTTAATGGCCATCGGCATTTTACTGGTCAGCAGTTTAACTAGCGTATATTAAGAGAGTATCTCATGTTATTTTTTTGCATAAAAATAATGAAATATTGCAAAATAATAATCATTACTATATTCAGAATTGTCCCTGAGGTTACAATATGAAATACTATGTTTAATTATAAAGAAAGAAATTTACTTGGTTTAGTTTGGTTGAAATATTACTTTAATAATTATAAATTTAAAAGAAGGGTGCTGATTATGAAAGTGAAATGGAATTACTCTGTCAAATTATTTGTAATAAGTCATACAGATTCATGCTTTAGAATAAAAAAAACGTAGTTTTCCAAATCCTTATTTTAAACTAATAATAATGTCGTAACCTGTAATACGCCGTTAAAACACATTAATTCTCTGTGCTTAAATTATCATACTAAGTACAATAAAGTTTGGTCTAGGTCTGCGGTTCCCATTTTTTTCGGATACGGAACCCTAATTAATCAACCTTCTTTTGACAGAGCCCCGACTTTATAAATATAGTTTTTTAAGATAATTATGAACGCTTTGATCCATAAAAGATTAATTTTAAAATAATTAATCAGATTAATTAAGATTTGTTATCGTTTTAAATTAGGTTTTATGTTCGACCGTTAAATTTGCAGCCTTTGTTGCCCTGTCTAGTTATGAGCTGAAAAAGATTAAACTTATGATTCACTTTTATTATGACTTATGAAATTTATTATTATTATGATTTTTGAAATCTGAATAATGACTTACTTTGAAATTAAAACTAAAAAGAACTGCTATAAGCGTTAAAAATGGTTTTTAGAGAAACATATTTCTTTAAAGAATTCTGTCATTTTTTTCTGAATCGAAAAGTGCAGTAGAAAATACATATGCAATATTTTATAAATGCTTGTACTTTTCAAAATTCGCCCAATATATTGTTATTGGAAATATTATATTTTCTTTTCAGAAATGCTCTTTCTACTTCATTGGCATTTTTTTAAAGTAATTTCATAAGGGAAACCGAAAGATTAAATAAATTATGAAATATGGGTTGTATTTAAATATAATCGGAGGTTTCAAAACTCATTATTGGTTTCTAAATAGTACTAACTCACGGAACCCCTTCAACTCTTCCCCGGAACCTCAGGGGTCCGAAGAATAAAATTTGGGAATCGATGGTCTAGGTCTTTAATGAAAATATTTTTTTTTGTATAATGATTGAACAATTAATTTTTAACATTCATGCAAAACCTTTAATAAAAAAATGAATAAAGTTCCTTTCGTATAAACACTGTGTTTTAAAAATTAAAAAAAAATTACATAAAAAGTAAGTTTTTTTAATATAAAGAATATATTTCAGTTTTTATCTAGTTGTACAATTGTTTGAAGTAAAAAAAAGTTGAAGTGGTTTAATTTTACAATAAATATATTATAAAAGAAAACGGAAATAAACACTGCAAAAAATAAGACACACAGCATTATTAGAATAAACTTATAATTAAGTATGTATTTGAGTTTTACATTATTCATGAAGTAGTAAAAATTATGGTATATTTTAAAAGTTTAACTAATAAATAAGGAATATTCGTCGGTGAGGATTCGTGCTCCAACATATCCTTGCAGACTTAGTAACTTTAATATTTTTAAAAATGAGCTAAACTGGTTAATATTATAAATTAAACCTTTTAAATTAATATTTCATTGTGTTACGATTGAGCTTGATTACTTCAAATGTGTAATCGTTCATTATAGAAACTAAATTTTTAACTAGTTTTGGACACTATTCGTTATTTTTCTTCGATTCTATTCACATTTGCATATTTATATTCTATTTTATTTTATTTTTTACATAAGTAATCTTTATAAATTTAATCAAAGACTTTAAATTGGATAGAGGCAGGATTTCTACAGTGTTAGTCTATAGAAAATATTTATTCTATTTTTTTTTGGAAGAAATTTTGGTTTTATTGAATGAACATTGGAAAACTTTTTGACGATTAAACAAATTGCTAAATATATGCATACCATGTGTTCTATATTAAGATAAAGAAATATTTTATTGAGTATATGGAAGCTTTGAGTAAGAAAAAATCAAAATAAATGGTGGAAATTGATGCTACAAAATTTATATCAACTTATTTTAACAACATCAAAAAAAAAAAATCTCACAAAAAGAGCACCCAGAGTATCACTCTCTAAATATAGGGTGTCCCAAAACGACCGCATAAACTCTGCACAGCTAGATTCCTCGTTGGGAGTTCATAAAAAATGCCCGAAGAAGCGTTCCTGTACGATCCATAGTTTACGAGAAAAATACGAAAAACAAAGTATGACGTCACTGCCAGTGCAAGAAAAAACACTTTATTGAACATATCAACAGCAATATACTATGCACAATTTAAAGATGTTCAAAGTGTCCGCCGTGCATGTCGAGGCAGGCTTGAGCACGCCGTGGATATGTCCAATAAAGTGTTTTTTTTTCCTTACACCGGCAGTGACGTCATACTTCGTTTTTCGTATTTATCTCTACGCTTCTTCGGGCATTTTTTATGTACTCCCAACGAGGAATCTAGCTGTGCAGAGTTTATGCGGTCGTTTTGGGACACCCTATATATAAGATTCTATGTTAAGAAATGTATGAATAATGCATTACATTTATGTATTCGGATACATTTATGCATTTATGAACATTTTATGTATTTCTACCTACCATAAACTTATGCTAATTTTTTGCTCTTTTTATGAAAATTTTGCTGGTAAATTAAGAAACATTAATGGTAGGTTTTTCAGATTGTTTTGTTTTAAATGTGACTCCTGTTAGTAAACGAGTACTGCCTTAATTCAAAGGTTTAATATCTATTAAAAAGCAGGCTTTTTAAATGTGACAAAGGTACAGCAACTTGTGGTTACTTTAGCCCAGTTATTTGTTTAGCTAAAATTGTATTGTGAATTATATACTATGCCAATACACCCGTTTTAAGAGTCATTTTACAGAAATGTTTGAAATTAAACTGAAATGATTGAAAAACTGGCGATAAATTTGAGATAAATAAATGAATGTATTTCAAACTTATAGTTTCATCGAAAGATTTCCCGTCTTAAGGAAAATAAATTTCAAGTTAATTTTCATAATACTATCATAAAATCATTAAAATTCATTTCATCAATAAAAAGAAATCTGTATTTAGCATTGTAGCTAATTTATTTTTCTCGGACAACATTTTCAACGTATAGGTTGATTAAAATTAGGTTGATATTTTAGGTTGATTAATTTTCATTATCAACACTCCACCCATTTTAATAGAAATCTAGTGAAAGGCACTGTATCTACTGAAAGTGGCTATAAAATTTTAAATCAAGTGTATTTTATTCAGGTGTTTCTGTGAAAAATCTAAAAATTAATTTCCAAATTTGTAGAATTTACTAAACACTTGTTATAAAACAATAATTTATACCTAAAACATTTTTATTTAGCTGGAAAAAAGACTCAACTTTTAAAGAGGAAAAAAAAAAACATTTGTCATACTAGCGATATACAGCAGATTTTAGAAATCGTTTGAGAGTCTTTTGATTTCGTATGAAATATGAAGAGGCATTGAGTTCAAATATTATACAGTGAATTCTTTTCTCAACTACTGCTAATTT